AGAGAGAGAGAGAGAAGAGTGCCTTCAAGACTCTTCAGTCCGACGGCGGGAGGCTGTATGTGTAGATTGCAAATTAAAAGGGGGAAATTAATAGACTGCAAATAATTCTATTTTATTTTATTTATTTTTTTTACAAAAGAAGAATTATTTAATAGTTTTTTAGGAAAATTTAGTTAATTACTTGATAGTGCAAAATGTGCAAAACAAATAATTGAGCGAATAATTTCCTTTTATTTGGTGGTATATCACTTTCATTTTTCTTCTTTAACATAAAAACTAATAGGAATTTGAAGAAATAATGCACGTAAACTCGATCTGGAATTGACCGAAATAGGTCTTTATGGGGTAAAATTCATTTTCATCTGTGACGTTTGCAGCCAAAATCAAAATAGTCCTTAATTTTTTTAATCTTGTTCAATATCATCCTTCGGACGCAATTTCTATAGGCCAAATCTCATTAATTGTCCTTCATCTTAGTATTTTGTTTCACTTTAATCCTTCATGTCCCAAATGTCTCATTATCATCCTTTAACTCTACAATTTATTCCAATTTAGTTTTTCATTGTATGGTTTAGTTAACTTTAACGGAATCTTTTGTTTATTGGATGAAATATTCTATTCTTGCAATTATTTGTAATAAACTATAAATAAATTAATAAATACTAGAAATACATATATAATTGAATTAGTTCTTTAAATATCAAATAAGATCATAAAAAATATAAACTAATTTTTGAGGGAGAATTTATGTAGATGACATATTATAATTATTTAAATATGTTTCTAAATTATATCCACAAAATAGATGATTTGTTTAATATTAATATAAATTAATATTTCGTAAAAATATTAGGTTTTTAAGTTATAGTTTTGTTGGTTGCAAATATTATTTTCAAATTACAAACTTTATTATTTATTGAAAAAAGTCCTAATTTATCAAAAATAATTCTAACAATGGAATATTCCATCCGTTTCTTACAAAGATTCCATTAATGTTAACAGGTTTAAACATCAAGGGATGATAATGAGATGAATTATAGAAATGAAGGATGAAAATGAGACAATTGAGACATGGACTTTAGTGGAACTAAATGTGAAAATGAGGGACCAGTATAAGATTTAGCCATTTCTATATGCTAAGAAAGTAATGAGCTCTCAACATAGCTTGATTAGTAAAAATATTGTTGATGGTTCATCTGTGATTAAATTAATAAAAAAATTATTAGAGAATAATTCTAAATTGGATTAAAAACTTTTTTATGAATTTGGAGCATTAAATTAATTTGATTGACTCATTAACTTAATGTTTTCAGAGGAAGAGCTAGCACGAAGCCTAAAGTGATTAATGGGTATACTCAGTTGGACAAATGGGATATATAAGTAGGGTAAATTGCAACCACCTCCCTCAGATAATGTATAATTAAAAAAACGCACCTTAATTTTGAGAAATTACATCCACATCCTAAAGCTTGTACATTTCTTACACCCACCCCCAGAAAAGGTTATCAATGTAAAAAATATACGAATTGCAGGAGTGCATGTAACTATAAAAAATGGAGGGCTTTTTCATAAATAGACAATATTTTTTTTTTATTGCAGTATTTGGATAAACAGTGACCATTGAGCTTCGAAAATGTTGATAGTAAATTTGCAATTTTCTGATAATAATTGTCAAAGGTAATTGAGTTGAGTATGTTTGAAGTTTGGACGCAAGATATTTTAACATTAAAAGCGACAACAATTTCATCAAATTCTATTCCAGCCACATAAAATGCACTCCTTGTAAGATAAGCTAAAAGCCACATATCTTTGTATTTTGAAAGCATCGATTTGTAGTTTATTAAAAGTCTATTAGATTTAATTTGATTGGCATAAGTAACACATTTATTTATTTATTTTCGATAAAAGAAAAATAGCCGCATTTCTTATTAGATAAACGTAGTACAAACTCGTCTTTTAACAATGCATACATCTTTTCATCAAATATTGATGCCTTTGTAGAAGTTAGAAATATTGATGCCTTAGTGACTATAAATTTTAGTTTCTTAATGAGTTTTATAGGTAAAAGATATAGAAAATAAATTTGGATTTTTATTAAGAGGCTTTTGGCCAAGTTAATAAGCTCTTTTTAAGAGCTTATAAGTTATAAGTGTGTAAAAAAGATTTAAAAAAAAAGAAAAAAGAAAAAAAGAAAAAGTAAACTGTTGGAGAGTATATATATATATATATATATATTTTAAAATTATCTATACACTACCTTTTTATTTTGGATACATAGCACTTAATCTCATTGTAATTTTAATATAAGCACATGCTCCTTGTAGTTTGAACTTTGTGCACATGACCCCATGTACTTTTAATATAAGCATATAACCCCGTCCGTATTCTACTTAGTAAATAACCATGTTCATCAGGAAGAGCATTTTTTTGAAAGTACAATGGGATTATGTGCTTACATTAAAATACAAGGGGGATAAGGTGCTATATTGAAAGTGTACGAGGTTCATGTACAAAAAGTTCAAACCACATAAGGTGAGTGTTATTTATCCTTTTTATTTAAAATTTTATAATGAGCAAAAATAGCTTACAAACTCATAATCCGACAACTTTAAAAATTAACTATAAAAATAAGACGTAACAGTTTATCAACTCTTAAAACTATTTGCCAGATCTAAGAACTTATCAACTTTTTAAAATAAATTTAGCCAAACGGACTTGAGTATTCCCTGAAGCACTCTTTAATCTTGTAACCCCAAAGAAGTGTAGGTCAATTGTTTGACCAAATGATAAGAGCAAAACAAGAAAAGCTGGTATAAAGTTTACACAATCATGCTAAGTTAAGCAACTTAACTCATTTGGTCCACCATTATTTTGCCTTCACCAAGCGAACAAAATCAACAGAAAAATTAAAGAAAAAGATAAAGCAGCCATCTCGTGATAATCAAAAATAATTTCAGAATTCCCATCTTTTTGACCCACATGTAGGACCCACCTCTCTCCCATTATATTCCGCCTTAATCTCGTCATTAACAAAAACACCGCTCCATAATCACTGCCCAAAAGCTGCTTGCTTCCTCTCTCTCTAGCTACTAAGGAAAACATAATTACTACATTTTAATAATGGCTTAATTGCCTTTTACACCCTTGAAATATAACTTTTTAGCATTTCGCACTTTAAAAAAATTAACAACACTTTGCACCCTCAAAAATACAATAAAATCATGCATAATGCACCCAAATGAATTTTTTTAAGCTAATAAATGTAATTTGAGAACTTTTAGTGGTATTTTTTTGAGGATGTTGAATGTCAAATCAAAATTTGTATATTTATCAATTCTTTCGAACCTACAATTTGATTAAAAAAATAAGAAACAAAGTATATATTTCTAATTAATTATATGGTTTATCACAAAAATATATTTAGAAAAAAAGGAAAAAGGCCAATCCTTCCTTTAGCTATTTTGTTATTAAATTATTTGAATTATATTTTCTTCCAAATATGTATACAAAATATTTTCAACAATAACGATAAAAGATCCATCAAACGTATATTTTACAGAGCCTCTGCACCAGCAA